AATCCCTCCGGTCCGACCCGAGACCAAATGCTGGATTACTGTATCAGTTGAGAAGAAGTAAGGAAGAATGTGACTTCATAATGTATTTAGCTTGTGATTAAACAATCAGCCTTTATATTGTACAGAATCCAGAACTCTTGAACGTGGAACAGTTTTCTGTTGCTTCTTTAGTGTCTAAAGAGTTTTATGTTCCTTTCTCTTAAGTCTACGGATTGATTTGTTGGTTAGCTTGTGAAGTAAAAGTAGAAAAATTAAATCTAAAGTGTATGCGCTTCATTTTTATATGTGAATGATTTATTTATTTTCTATGATTTCAGAAGGCAGGAAAAAAAGAAGGCGGATTTGATGGCAGACCCGATGCAGCCTCACATACGCTCTGCCACCGTGGTCTTTGAAAGCAAGGTGACTGATCCCACTTGTTTGAGTTCATTTGACGTCTTGTTGATCATCCAGCATTGATTTGAAACCCGAAACAAACTTGTGACGCGCCATACAGATGCATTATTTCTTTCTTTTCTGCTGCAGAGAGGTATAATGTCATCAACGGCCGATTTACATGAAGAAGTCCGGTGTGAAAACTACACAAATCCTGTTGCTGAAATAGCAAAACATATGGGAAGCGATAGTGGTGAGTCAAATATAATAACTCACACGGACACGTTCTGGAACCGAAGCTGGAGAGTGTGTCAATCACTAATGTTTACATGTGTGAAGCAGGAGTTCATTAGTGAGCGAGAGACACTTTGTCATGGCTTCTGTTCCTCACAAACCTGTTCTGGCTCCAGTCTGAGCTACTGATAACTGTTTGCTTGAGCGATCATGTTGTGTTTCTGTGTGCAGACGTGAAAGTGGCTCCTCCTCAGACATTGGAAGTTCATGGGATCAATGTTTCTTGGAGTTTCGATTCTTTAAAAACCCACTTGCCATCATATTAATCTTCACCATTCTCATCAAGTGCAAGAGAATCAAAAGGTGAGTGATCACCTGTGAGGAGTCTTCAGACACACTCACACCACAGACAACAGCTACAACGATAACTACAACTAAACGATAACCATAACGACAGCGATAACTATGTTGCTAATAATAACAATAATTATAATGACAACTATAACTATAACGATAACTATAATGCTAATAATAATAACGATATCTATGATAATAAATATTATGGTGACAGTAACTATGACAACTATAATAAGAACTACTATAATGATAAATATAATGACAACGAGAACAATAATGATAACTATAAAGCTAGTAATAATAACAGTAACTATGACAATAGTAATAATAACAATAACTATAATGACAACGATAACTATAATGCTGCTGCTAATAATAATAACAATAACTATAATGCTAATAATAATAACAATAACTATGACAATAATAATAATAACAATAACTATAATGCTAATAATAATAATAACTATGACAATAATTATAATAACAATAACTATAATGACGACAGTAACGATAATGATAACTGTAATAATGGCTAACTATAATGATAGCTATAACAATAACTATAATACAATAAACAATATCTATAATGATAATAATAACAGTAACGATAACAGTAGCTATAACGATAACGATACCAATAATAACAATAACGATGACTAGAATTACAATAACTATAACGATAACCACAATAAAATAAATAACTATAATAATAACTATAATGAAATGATAACAGTAACTACAGCTATAATAATAACTGACTATAAAATACCTGTATACTAACTAGAACAATAACGCTAACGATAATAACAAAAACTAACTATAATGCAACTAAATATTTAACAACTGACTCACAATTATCCCTCATGACCTCAAAAAATTATTGTAAATGATTTATTTCAATGAGAACATGTCAGGTTATACGAGAGACATTACATCTGTTACAAAGTGTGTTTCTGAGCTCAGAATGACAGTACTGGGCCACAGGAATGTGGCTTGTTTCAGGGTCCAGAAGAACGGTTCCACGTTTATTCCTGATCCCTCCAAATTCTTCGGTGATCTGAACTCGAGCCACGGAGGGAATTTCACGGTGAGTCCCGTAGGGCTGTCAAAATTTTTTTTAATTTCGAATATTCGTCGAATTTAAAATAAAAATACACATTCGAATGCAAAAACGTTGCACTTGAATTTTAGGTGTGCGTTAAGGAGGCAGCTTATCAGCGGCGCACGAGATGCGATGACGATGTGAGTGTCGTTGTATTATAATGTGTTTGTTAGTCTATCCAGTTGAAGCCACTAGATGCAGCGCTGCGGCGTTGTTCATTACAAATATTGCGGAAAAAGAGAACAATAATGCGGAGAAGATCTTGTTTACATCAAAACTGTTCACACAGAACGCATATTTCGCGTACCGCAGCGCCGACGTCACTCGCGCCGCTGGAGAGCTGGAATTCTCTCTGAAGACGCTGGAGAAGCTGCGCCAGGACATGCAGAGTCCAGATTCGGGTTTCGCAGGCGGAGCTGAGGACAGCATGGAGGAGATGGAGCTGCCCAGTCCTCTGGGCTTAAACCTGCCCCAGGATCTGCCCGCGCCGGAGCCCTGCAGACACCCACTCCTGGGCCTTCAGCGCACGATTCCTGGATTAGACCTGGACCTCCAGAGCTCCTGTGGGCTGATCGAGCCCTCTAGTGATGATTACATGCCAGTGAAAAACGTGCAGAGTTAGTGTTGAAGGCCAGAACGTTCACTCGGAAGTGGATATGATGTTATCAGAGCTACACAGAAATTGACAAGCTCAGTCTGTAACTGCAGTGAAAATGAGAAGGCTTGAGAGCAAGTTTTTGCGTGTGAACGGAAGCGCTGTCTGTCAAAACATGAGCAGTTCGTTCTGCTCACCCTCATGACTTCCACAAACGGAGATGATTCTGCTGGAGCGTCTGAGTCCATTCAGTGACCCACAGCTGCACAGAAAGAGTTTCGCTGTTACAGTTCCACACACGAATGACTTCGAAAGACTAGATTCATATGGACAACTGTTATGATACCTGTTTGTGACCCTGGAGCACAATTTTTCAAAATTGAGATTTGTAGATCATCTGAAACTGAATAAATAAGCTTTCCATCGATGTCTGGTTTGTTAGGATCGGACAATATTTGGCTGAGATACAACTATTTGAAAATCTGGAATCTGAGGGTGCAACAAAATCAAAATATTGAGAAAATCATCTTTAAAGTTGTTCAAATTAAGTTCTTAGCAATGCATATTACTAATCACACATTACGTTTTGATATATTTATGGTAGGACATTTACAAAATATCTTCATGCAACATGATCTTTACTTTGGTAAAGTAATTTTTGGCATAAAAGAAAAATCAATAATTTTGACCCATACAATGTATTTTTGGCTATTGCTACAGATATACCCCAGCGACTTAACATATATCACACATATATCGTTTGCACTTTCATTGCATGGAAAAGAGCAGCGTGAACATTCTGCTAAACATTTCCATTTGTGTTCCACAGAAAATAGAAAGTTGTTCAGCTGCTGGTTGCACTAGTCTTAACAGTTAGTCATCTAACTTTTTTCTTCAAGAACGGTCCTAACTTTTTAAGGGCAGATTGGACTCAATTGAATCCGAAACAAGACTGATTATCACTCGTGTTAACTGGTTCTTAAGACCAGAGTCTGCCAGGTTAGGAATGACATGATGGTGCATAAATGATGAGAGGAGTTTTGGTGACTGCAGGTGGTTGACACGACGGGATCTGCTTCTGTGTGCTGTTGTATGAGCAGGACGATGTGAGAGTCACTCCTGATCTCAGCAGGTTTGTGTGACGCAGATGCAGTCTCTCAGAACGAGCGCAGGATCTGCGGGCGAAACCAGGTGAAACACAAAGCAGCGTTTCCTGTTTCTTTTCACTAAAATTCTGCCGTTCAGTTTACACGGAACGACTCCAAGGAAAACTCGATGTTTAGAAAATGATTAGTTTCAGGTGAGACCATTTATAACATTCTTCACCCTGAATATTATCCTATCATTTCTATGTTTAAGATGTTTGGCAGCAGGGACATTAAGCTAACATGAGACAGAAACACACAAGCAGAAGTGAAACGTTCTTTTGAGCAGCTTGGACTTTTCACGGTTATTGTCATTTTGTTTATGATATTTTTATATAACATTTCATGTCATGTGTTTGATTTTTGCATTGAAATGTATGTTGAAAATGATGTCTTTGTTGAATGTAAGAGAAGCCAGTAGTTCTCAGCGATTGCAAATAATATATTAAAGCATCTTTGTGCTCAGACTGACTGTTTCTGTTTCTGTTAGTATGGGTCAGATTGCTGTTCTAAAAGCCTTTTTTTTGATGGACTCTCAACAGCATTGTTTCTCAGTGCCACTAAAGTGAAGGAGAATGACAACAGATCGATGTCTCCTTTAGGTATTACAGAGTGTTATAGTAGAACAGTACATGCTGTGTGTCAGGGACTGTATGGGGTATGGCAAGAAATGTGTTTAATAATAAATTCCGCAAATAAGGTCATTGTTGCAAAACAGAAATATAAATTGCAGCAACCAAAATAAATCTGGTAAAAAAATTATTTTGGGGACGGAATCATGACGATATTATTGCACTGCAGAGATGAATGTTGAATTATTACTTTTTTTAGAAGAACCCCAGAGATGGCTTTGTAATGTATTCCCAACTGTGTTTTTCCCAGCTGTTTCTGAGATTTGCTTGAAATACATCTGGACGGTGGACCAGTAGAAGCTTCCTTCTGGTTGTGAACTGAACAAGTCTGGTTGAAAATGTCCTTTCACAGGTTTAATATGGGTAATTGGTGACTATAAATGAATGAGTTTTAAATTAAATAAAATTGCAGTTTTCATGGAACTGTTTGATCCTCATGCTTAGATCCTATCGTCCACTATAGCTTAGGATAAAAGTGCTGATTTGTAATGGAAAAATACACATATAATCATAGATGATCAAGCATAAGTGTAAAATGACAAAGAACAGCTAATGCATTAAAATGCATGAACTGAAGTGGCTAAATATATGACTGGAACACAGGAGTGAGTCCCAGAGGAGCATCGCGCGCGCACAGGTGAGACCCGACACAGTGACGTCACGGGCGTCGCGCAGGTGAGCGCGTGTTGCCGGGCGTTGACTGTTGTTAAGAGACCCGTTATTCATATTCTCACACAATCCCGCATTTAAATGAAAACTGCGGCTGCCGTGGACTGTCCTCAGAGCAGCCGATTATTGATCCGCTGCGAACTTTGGACCGACAAACACTGCGACTCCCGCAGAACATGAGAAGAGCCGAGCTTGTGTGAGTCCTGCTAAGAACCACCAGAACCGGGACCGAGAGTCTGTTCGCGGAGCCGAGGATGAGCGCGAGATAACGGTCCGGTTCGTGATGGAGCTCGGGAACCAGTTCAGATCGGATCCGAATCGAGAGCGAGCCAGCGACACTGTGAGAGAGAGAGAGAGCAGGTTAATCAAACATTACCTGAGAGAGATCTCTGGAGCGTTTCTCTCAGTATTCCCGTGTTTTGTGTTTATCCACAGATTCCTCGCGCCGATCCGGATCAGACCCAAAAAAGGAGGAGGAGCTTCCCGAAATGGCTGATTGGCCTCATCTTCACCATCATCATCCTCGTCTTGGCAGGATCTTCATCTCTTATCTGGTACTTTCTGGGTGAGGAAAGAGTCACACATGCGTTCAGCACATTCAAGTGTCAATGTAGCGAAACTAAAACTAGTTAGTAGTGGATTATAGAAGATGACACAGAATCAGTTTACTGTTAAAGTGAAACATATTGACAGAGGAGTTTAGTTCAGGATAACAATGCATCTGTTATATGTGTGTGTGTGTACATACTGTACACACACACACACACACACACACACACACACACACACACACATATATATATATATATACATACATGTCTGGTGAGCTATCCTTGTGGGGACTCTCCATAGGCGTAATGGTTTTTATACTGTACAGACCGTATATTCTATTGCTCTACACCAACCCTACCCCTAAACCTACCCCTCACAGGA